CATAAGCTTTACTTGGGAGATACTGAACCCTTTTAGTCTCTTCTTGACCCTTGCTAAGCAGGTGGTTGTAAGCATAAGCATTACTTGAGAGATACTCAACACTTTCAGTCTCTTCACCATGCTAAGCAGGTGGTTGTAAGCATTACTTGGGAGATACTGAACCCTTTCAGTCTCTTCTTGACCCTTGCTAAGCAGGTGGTTGTAAGCATTACTTGGGAGATACTGAACCCCTTTCAGTCTCTTCTTGACCCTTGCTAAGCGGGTGGTTGTAAGCATTACTTGAGAGATACTGAACCCTTTCAGTCTCTTCTTGACCCATGCTAAGCAGGTGGTTGTAAGCATTACTTGAGGAGATACTGAACCCTTTTAGTCTCTTCTTGACCCTTGCTAAGCAGGTGGTTGTAAGCATAAGCATTACTTGGGAGATACTCAACACTTTCAGTCTCTTCACCATGCTAAGCAGGTGGTTGTAAGCATTACTTGGGAGATACTGAACCCTTTCAGTCTCTTCTTGACCCTTGCTAAGCAGGTGGTTGTAAGCATAAGCATTACTTGGGAGATACTCAACACTTTCAGTCTCTTCACCATGCTAAGCAGGTGGTTGTAAGCATTACTTGGGAGATACTGAACCCTTTCAGTCTCTTCTTGACCCTTGCTAAGCAGGTGGTTGTAAGCATTACTTGGGAGATACTGAACCCTTTCAGTCTCTTCTTGACCCATGCTAAGCAGGTGGTTGTAAGCATTACTTGGGAGATACTGAACCCCTTTCAGTCTCTTCTTGACCCTTGCTAAGCGGGTGGTTGTAAGCATTACTTGAGAGATACTGAACCCTTTCAGTCTCTTCTTGACCCTTGCTAAGCAGGTGGTTGTAAGCATTACTTGGGAGATACTGAACCCTTTTAGTCTCTTCTTGACCCTTGCTAAGCAGGTGGTTGTAAGCATAAGCATTACTTGGGAGATACTCAACACTTTCAGTCTCTTCACCATGCTAAGCAGGTGGTTGTAAGCATTACTTGAGAGATACTGAACCCTTTCAGTCTCTTCTTGACCCATGCTAAGCAGGTGGTTGTAAGCATTACTTGAGAGATACTGAACCCTTTCAGTCTCTTCTTGACCCATGCTAAGCAGGTGGTTGTAAGCATTACTTGAGAGATACTGAACCCTTTCAGTCTCTTCTTGACCCTTGCTAAGCAGGTGGTTGTAAGCATTACTTGGGAGATACTGAACCCTTTCAGTCTCTTCTTGACCCATGCTAAGCAGGTGGTTGTAAGCATTACTTGAGAGATACTGAACCCTTTTAGTCTCTTCTTGACCCATGCTAAGCAGGTGGTTGTAAGCATAAGCTTTACTTGGGAGATACTGAACCCTTTTAGTCTCTTCTTGACCCTTGCTAAGCAGGTGGTTGTAAGCATAAGCATTACTTGGGAGATACTCAACACTTTCAGTCTCTTCACCATGCTAAGCAGGTGGTTGTAAGCATTACTTGGGAGATACTGAACCCTTTCAGTCTCTTCTTGACCCTTGCTAAGCAGGTGGTTGTAAGCATTACTTGGGAGATACTGAACCCTTTCAGTCTCTTCTTGACCCTTGCTAAGCAGGTGGTTGTAAGCATTACTTGAGAGATACTGAACCCTTTCAGTCTCTTCTTGACCCATGCTAAGCAGGTGGTTGTAAGCATTACTTGGGAGATACTGAACCCTTTTAGTCTCTTCTTGACCCTTGCTAAGCAGGTGGTTGTAAGCATAAGCATTACTTGGGAGATACTCAACACTTTCAGTCTCTTCACCATGCTAAGCAGGTGGTTGTAAGCATTACTTGGGAGATACTGAACCCTTTCAATCTCTTCTTGACCCTTGCTAAGCAGGTGGTTGTAAGCATAAGCATTACTTGGGAGATACTCAACACTTTCAGTCTCTTCACCATGCTAAGCAGGTGGTTGTAAGCATTACTTGGGAGATACTGAACCCTTTCAGTCTCTTCTTGACCCATGCTAAGCAGGTGGTTGTAAGCATTACTTGGGAGATACTGAACCCTTTCAGTCTCTTCTTGACCCATGCTAAGCAGGTGGTTGTAAGCATTACTTGGGAGATACTGAACCCTTTCAGTCTCTTCTTGACCCTTGCTAAGCAGGTGGTTGTAAGCATTACTTGAGAGATACTGAACCCTTTCAGTCTCTTCTTGACCCTTGCTAAGCAGGTGGTTGTAAGCATTACTTGGGAGATACTGAACCCTTTTAGTCTCTTCTTGACCCTTGCTAAGCAGGTGGTTGTAAGCATAAGCATTACTTGGGAGATACTCAACACTTTCAGTCTCTTCTTGACCCTTGCTAAGCAGGTGGATGTAAGCATAAGCATTACTTGGGAGATACTCAACACTTTCAGTCTCTTCACCATGCTAAGCAGGTGGTTGTAAGCATTACTTGGGAGATACTGAACCCTTTCAGTCTCTTCACCATGCTAAGCAGGTGGTTTTAAGCAAAAGCGTTACTCGAGAGATATTCCACCTCATGGAAACAAGGCATTGATCAGTGAGCCAAGGTTTTACAACAGGAGATGAAACATCGCAGTAGACTATGTTATGTCAGACCAGAGTTCCACCAACCTTTGCCTGTCAGTACCTTCAAGTTACAATCACTTTCCCTCATTTCATTCCCAGCAAAAACAATTGTTGGTGAAGAATAACTGTCAAATGCAGTTGTTGTGTCATGCTAGGGAGAAGGTGTTTAACGGGGCAATAATACTTGGCATCACATCCACAGCTTCCAGGCTGCTGTTTGTTATTTCTCTGCCACAGAAGAGTGGTGTTCTATTTTGCTCTTGCTGATTTGAAGAGGGTCATCAGCCAAGAGTGTTTCAATCTGTAGTGTGTCTTGGCAATAGCTCTTGTTGCACACTTCTAAATAATAATGTTATCAATTTTTCAAGCTATGCTATCCAGCATTTGTTAAGCAGTTTGTTTTCCAAATAAATCCTGTCACTTCATCTTTTGGAATTTGCTGAAACATGTAAGGCATTCTCAGCAGCAGCTGTTGTAGTTTAATGTTATGGAAGACAAATGTCAATTTGTCGAGTGGAGTACATGCAGAAAAAAGAAAGTAAGACATATCTTTCTGATGGGTTCCTTAGAAGACTTAATGGATTTGTGTTCTTGACTATGTAAGATGTTTTATGGAGTTTTGTGTAAGTTTTTATCACAGTCTTCAACTTAACCTCGTCTTGTAATTTATATGGTGGTTCACTCGATTTGAGAATGTCAGACGAAACTACTTTGAAGAGTGTCTAATGCATTAATCCAGGAGTTGTTATCCATAAAGTTGTCATCTTATCTCATCAGCAAAGAAAGTATATATTTAATACTAAAAACTGATTGAAAATGATCCAAACATGTTCAAGAGAATATTTATTTTAGATACGGTATGTAGATGTCCAAGCTTTTGTCCTTTACCTATCTGATGATTATAACTATAAAAATACACAAACATTTGTTAGCAACTGTTTTGAGCTTACATATCATGTATCCTGGCTTCAGCATATGTATCACCTCTGTCTGCTAAACTCACTGCTAACTCCCTTTCACTGCCTGCAAACTCTGCTACACCTAACTCAGAACACTAACTCACTAACCATCCGATTAAACAAGTGAACAATTTGAAGTAAATATAAGCTGCAACAATTGGTCAGTGAAATCAAATTTTTTAATTCTGTGATTCAGACAAAGACATGTTTTTGTCTTTCAGAATTCTGTCCCAGTTACCCTTCAATTTGTCCGTAGATCGTGAATTAAAGCGAGTGCAAGATCGCGTGGAAATCTATTGTGCAGAGTGCCAGAGATATCCTGGTTACTTACCATCTCTTTAGTTGGGAACTGTGATTTAGACCCTGCTTGTGATCAATATGTCCATCCACTCCAGTTGCTTTGCCCTGACCTTGGATAATGCAGGTCAAGGTCAGATCAGGGTCAACTTATTGAACTTCTACCCATGGGTTACTACAAGTTCTTGTCAGTCCATTGTGCCTGCTGTAGCTGCTGCTATCTTCACCTTGCATACCCAAGGTTATATGCGATCATCATACCTGCTGTTGATACAACAACTAGCTGTCCTCAATCACTGGTTGCCCCTGGTTACCCCTGGTCAAGGCTGGTGAAGGCTTGGGAGGGTGAGCTAAGTGCTTGCTTTTTTGGTGGGAAGTTGTAATCTTAACATAGATATCCATATTATGGGTTTTTGAATATATAAAAAATTAGAGGCATGAATCAGAAAGTCTAATTAAGTGTTTTTCACCACTATTACAGAACAATATTGATGATAGGCTTTCATTTTTTACTACCATCACATATCTGCTAACCTTGATATTAGAGTAAATTGGACAAAAACAAGCAGTATTGCAATTTTTGATATGGCAACAAGTAAAGATAATCTCAAAATATTTTGGCATCCCCTGGAAATTCAGAAATGAACAATTTTGAGTACCTGAAAACAGTGCAGTACAAAAACCTTTATCTCTGGTCTTGGTTCATGGTATTCAAAGGACCCAAATTAGTCAGATCAGAGACTTACAGACTTACCAAATACATGAGACAAAGCAAATTTTCAATAACAGCATCCGTAAACCAAATAAATATAATCTGGCCCTGGGATAGTCTCGCCTGGGGACACAGTGTAACAAAAATATTTCATTGTCCCAAGTCTATGTAACTCTATTACTTAGGCAAGTCTAGATTTCTTCAGTTTTGTGAGATTCTCTGGATTTCTTTCTGTTGATATTACATCCAAGATTATTTGACCATAAAATCCCCCAGAAAATTTACACTTTTATTACATGGACTCAATGTCAGACTAATCCTAGGCTTTTAAATGTTTCAACACCATGTACTCATGTCTCATTCTGAACTACATAGCCTTCCATATCACTTTTAGTCTGTATTCTAGAATGTTGTCATATTGTTTGTCTGTTAAGCTTTGAATGTATCACTGATAGCTAGCTTGATGTTTTTTGCAGAATCTTGGCTCAGTATTCCTTTACCTTATCCCAAGATTGGGAGCTACCTCGCAAACCAGCCCCAGCAACTTTGAAAGAAGGAGTGCGAGACATGTTGATAAAACATCATCTGTTTAGCTGGGACTTGTGATGTGCTACCCTTGTACTATGGACACCCTTGTACTGTGGACACCCTGTGTTGTGGAAAGCCTTGTTTTCTGGACTCACCTGCATAGTGTGCATCTAGTGTCACAAACCTGCTTGTAGTTAAAACTTTTCTTTTTGTGTTTTGGGATTGTATCTTGTGTTGTCCAGATCACTGATCAAATTATTGGGCATGGATGAAAAACCTAAGATCCAGCCTAAAGGAAAATAATCAAGACAGAGATAATGAAGTCAAAACTAGGCCGTAGTGGGAATGTAGGGCTTATAGACAAACTAGTGTGTTCTTTGGTTCAGGGATGCTTGTATTTAAAGAAATCTACAGAGACAACAATACATGTTTTGCTTGTTCGTCATGTTCAATTACCCTGGTTTGAAGTTCTTGCTGTCTAAAACCAAAGACTGTAAAGAATTTTTTAGAGAAATAGTTCCAATCCAAGAAAGTTAGAGGGACATAAGGAAAATCATATGGGACATGTCTTTGCCCATGATTGCCAGACAAACATGAGAAATGTGTCAGTTACAGACTTTCTATTAGTAATTTCAATGTGCAATATGTATATGATGAGTTCATGGAGAGAATATATGTAAGAATATGCCCAGGGTCATGGGGTAGAAGGTAGACAAGATAAACAGTCGACAGCATGGCCAGTGATCATCCTAACAACAGCACACAATCATTGTTCTATATCTCAGTGGATGTAATTGAGGAGCTGAAGATGTGATAGAGGCTACTGGATGAATGTACCCCAGGTACTTTTCTGTGTATAGAAATGCATCCCAGCTGAATTCATAATACATTAACGTAACCTTGATAAAATTATAATAGAAACATACCTTGGTCAAAATCATTATATAAAAATGTTCCTTGGCCTAGGTCATAACACAGAAATCATACTACTGATTTGTGATATTGAAATATGTCCTGTGTGAAATCCTAATACAGAAACAGGCCCTATCTGAAATCATAATACAGAAATGTACCCTGTCTGAAATCATAATATAGAAACAGACCCTGTCAGAAATCCTAATACAGAAGTGTACCCTGTCTGAAATCATAATACAGAAACAGACCCCATCTGAAATCCTAATACAGCAATGTACCTCGTCTGAAATCATAATATAGAAACAGACCCTGTCAGAAATCATAATACAGAAAAGTACCCTATTGGAAATCCTAATACAGAAATGTACCCAGTCTGAAATCATAATACAGAAATGTACCTTGTCTGAAATCATAATATAGAAACAGACCCTGTCAGAAATCCTAATACAGAAATGTACCCTGTCTGAAATCCTAATACAGAAATGTACCCTGTCTGAAATCATAATGCAGAAATGTACCTCGCCCGAAATTATAATACAGAAATGTTTGCCCTTTTGTTAGACAGGGTCTGTTGTTGATTTGAAATTGTATTTATTGGAACATGATTCACCATCCATATTTACAGCCATGATTAGTTTTAATGTGAGTTCACTGCTGGCCACCTGTAGGCTGTAGCTAGCCAGGGTCTATATCCTGAAGATGTAACAGTGATCTATACATCTAATAATTATAATGATCTTGACTCCATGAGCTACACCTCAAATCTTATATAATTTCAATGATAACCACAAAATTTGTTTGAAGGTCTGTTTGGTGTTTGTTTCAATTTTTTTCATATTATCAGACAATATTTAAAAATCGAAGAAATTCATTTTCATCCAATTTTTTAACCCAATTTACATGAAATCCTCAAAGAGTTTTACAGTATAGGCTATTGAGACAGCAGAATACTGTAAATAAGAACAGAACCATATTTGCTTTGGTCTTTGAAGATTTAAAAAAAATGAATATGTGCACGCAAGCACCCTCCTTGGGTTACCATGGTTACTAATGTCTTTTTTGTTATATACCACACATCTTTCATGATTTTGAGTGCTGCTGACTTGAATTTTGGGCTAAATGGTCACAGATGAAATGCTAATTTTTGATGATTATTAACTCAAATTCTTGGAACCATACTGTTTATCAGTATTGTAATTCTTTTAGGAACATTTGGTTTATGAAAAAAACATGTCCTGAGTATTTTAGGTAATGTTGTTTTGCCAGTGACAGTTTTACAATTCTATATTCAGTGCATATTCAGTATCAACAATTATTTAACCAGTATTTTTCCATAGCTTGTACCATGACATTTGAATGTTACTTAAAGTGGATTTCCCTAAGGATCTCTTATAAGTAGCCTTTGCTCCAAAATGAAACCGTACAAGATGCTGCATATTGTGCAATGTTCAATGCTATTTTATTCCTGTTGTATATTCTTTTATTCTGTCAATCATGGTTTGTAGTGAATGTATGCATGTAGCTGTTCACTTGTAAGGATACTGTGATATCATGATTGCTGATGTATAAAAATGTTTTTAAATTAGGGCATTTTATTCATTATCAGTTCGTTTACAGAGTTTTGCACCAGTATTTTATTGTAGGTGATTTAAAAAAATATATGTATTTAAACCACATGCAAATTATCAATGTGAAACATCGAATTAAGCTTGGTTTGTCGTTAGGTTTTGTGTTGGTTTTTGATGATGGCTTGTCATTTGCATACTTTAAAACAATATTAGGTTACGATTTCCGACCTCTTAGATATTTGCAAGAACCATTATTTTCTGAACATAAAGCTTTTTTCCTTCAAAGATCTAGAATTGTATTTCCTAATTACTGGGACAATATCCAATTATGAAATAATGTTACTGCAAACAAATATGTTACAAGTTTTTTTGTTTCATTTTTCATGTTTGTTTTGGTAAACAAACTGATACAAAATAAAAGGCCTTAGCGAGGAATAATGTCAGCTTCATTTTTAGTATCTGAGATGTTCATGGAAGAGCTTAGAAATGAAATCATTTGAATAAGAGAAATAGGAAGCTTGTTCTCTTCGACAGCAATGATGCTTATTGTTCTGACAAGTTTACACATGTCTTTATTTCTTTATGTCATTTGTTTGTTTGATTCATCATGTTGTGTACAGATTGTATTTTGATCAGTTTATTTTAAGCATTCATCAAGAAATCCAATGCATTGACTATGTTGTGATCTTGTTTTATTTGCTCTGTCCGTGTGCAGTAATGTTTGATTGTGCTTGTGGCACCGTAGTCTATGTCCCATTGATGACAAATGTTTGACTTGCAGTGTAACCATAGCTTACACCAATGGCAGCATTCATGTTCATTCAGTGCTGATGTTTTTGCAGTATTTGCCAATAAGCTCAGTTCTTATATGTGAACACTTTCTTTCAGACTCTTTTCCCAGTTTTCCTTTAACTTGTCGAGAGATTGGGAACTGCCAAAACAGTCGGATGGTTACAAGCCGTTCAGGGAAGGGGTGAAGGACATGCTGGTGAAGCACCACCTGTTCTCATGGGACCTGTGAGCGGCGTCAGTGAACACTGTCAGGGAGTGCTGATGTCATGTGCTATAAGTTGGTCCTGTCAGTGAATACTGACAGAGATTGCTGTCAGATCTGTCTGTGAGTGCTGAGGTAGTGTGCTGTCAGTATGTATGGACATAGTGTGCTGTCAGTAAGTATGGACAGTGTGTGCTGTCAATAAGTATGGACATAGTGTGCTGTCAGTAAGTATGGACATAGTGTGCTGTCAGTAAGTATGGACAGTATGTGCTGTCAATAAGTATGGACATAGTGTGCTGTCAAGTATGGACATAAGTATATGGACATAATGTGCTGTCAGTAAGTATGGACATAGTGTGCTGTCAGTAAGTATGGACATAGTGTGCTGTCAGTAAGTATGGACATAATGTGCTGTCAGTAAGTATGGACATAGTGTGCTGTCAGTAAGTATGGACATAGTGTGCTGTCAGTAAGTATGGACATAGTGTGCTGTCAGTAAGTATGGACATAGTGTGCTGTCAGTAAGTATGGACATAGTGTGCTGTCAGTAAGTATGGACATAGTGTGCATCAGTAAGTATGGACATAGTGTGCTGTCAGTAAGTATGGACATAGTGTGCTGTCAGTAAGTATGGACATAGTGTGCTGTCAGTAAGTATGGACATAGTGTGCTGTCAGTAAGTATGGACATAGTGTGCTGTCAGTAAGTATGGACATAGTGTGCTGTCAGTAAGTATGGACATAGTGTGCTGTCAGTAAGTATGGACATAATGTGCTGTCAGTAAGTATGGACATAATGTGCTGTCAGTAAGTATGGACATAATGTGCTGTCAGTAAGTATGGACATAATGTGCTGTCAGTGAGTGAGGACTTAATGTGCTGTCAGTAAGTATGGACATAATGTGCTGTCAGTAAGTATGGACATAATGTGCTGTCAGTAAGTATGGACATAATATTGCTGTGCTTAATGTCTGTCAGTAAGTGAGGACATAGTGTGCTGTCAGTAAGTATGGACATAGTGTGCTGTCAGTAAGTATGGACATAGTGTGCTGTCAGTAAGTATGGACATAATGTGCTGTCAGTAAGTATGGACATAGTGTGCCATGTCAGTAAGTATGGACATAATGTGCTGTCAGTAAGTATGGACATAGTGTGCTGTCAGTAAGTATGGACATAGTGTGCTGTCAGTAAGTATGGACATAGTGTGCTGTCAAGTATGGACATAGTGTGCTGTCAGTAAGTATGGACATAGTGTGCTGTCAGTAAGTATGGACATAGTGTGTAAGTATGGACAGTGTGTGCTGTCAGTAAGTATGGACATAGTGTGCTGTCAGTAAGTATGGACATAGTGTGCTGTCAGTAAGTATGGACATAGTGTGCTGTCAGTAAGTATGGACATAGTGTGCTGTCAGTAAGTATGGACATAGTGTGCTGTCAGTAAGTATGGACATAATGTGCTGTCAGTAAGTATGGACATAGTGTGCTGTCAGTAAGTATGGACATAGTGTGCTGTCAGTAAGTATGGACAGTGTGTGCTGTCAGTAAGTATGGACATAGTGTGCTGTCAGTAAGTATGGACATAATGTGCTGTCAGTGAGTGAGGACTTAATGTGCTGACAGCGAGTTCTGACTTTGAATGCTGTCAGTGGCTCTGGTAAGTGAGTATTGCCAGAAATTATGACATCATGGTATGACAGTGATTGGAAGCAGTGTCAGTACCAGGATATTCACACAATACTTAATCTCTATCCTGTTCTCTTTGCTGGGGTAACAGTTGAAGTAATAGAATGTACACCCATTTGTGATGTGTGACTTCAATACCACTGTAAATGGGTTGATACTAGGCCATACATCTAATACATTGCCAGTGGTTTATTGTTTGCAGTCCTGGTGCTGTACTGTGATCTGTATTGATGCTAACATTATGTCAGAATACCATAATATCCTGGGGTTTGGTATCTAACTCTACCAGCATCTTGGTGCACAGATAGTCTGGGAGTGTACTATAGTATCCTGGTATCTGGTGATAGATCATACCAGGATATGAATACACTGAACCTTGGTGAGTGTACTATAGTATCCTAGTATCTGGTGATAGATCATACCAGGATATGAATACACTGACCCTTTAGTATCCTGGAACCTGACACTGTTTCTATGGCAACAGCTGTTGCTGTCATGGTCCAAGAAAAATCCACTGTTGAATGAGAAGAAGATGAAGTAATATGAAAAGATTATTGTTTTTAAGGTTTACAAAATCTGTTAATATAACAATGTGATAAAAAGATTATTGTTTTGGAAAAATACAACATCCCTTGTTATGATGTATTGTTTGTCCACATACTTATAGTATTTTCTAATCCCCAGTAAAATGTGTTAGGCACAGGTGTGGGAGGATATCAGCAGTAAAGACTTCTCAAGATATTCTGTTTAAGTTTGGAGCTGTAACGGTCAATGCTTTACTTGCATAACTTCTCTCCCAGTTTAAACAGGAAGCTAACCACGAATCCTTTATAATAATATTTTTACATCATTTAAACGCTGTAACTAGGAACAGAGATGTTTTGCTAATATTATTTCTATATTTTCATAATTTTATGAATACTAATTATAGCTAAGATGGAAGAACAACAATATTTACCTGGACTTGTATGTAAATGCACGAACACGTTT